TCCTTTATGCATAGGTAGTATCTCTAGAAGCAAATAACAATAGACCAGCTCAAATAAACTAGGGAGAGCTACATTTTGCTTCCTTAAATTAGACCTAATAATACGTGGGGGGGGGGGGGGAATAAACTAGGGAGGGCTACATTTTGCTTCCTGGAATAAGGTTGGCGAATATTTTTAACATTAGGGGTATTTTTAATTATATTTTAGTCATTTCGTTAGTCTGTGTGCTTTTTTGTAATTGTCGTCTATAGTAGCCTTCTTTATCTATAAATATACCCATTTATTTTGGCTTATTCATCATAATTTGTTTGGACTGAACCCTATTCATCATGATAGAAGGAAGAATTCTACCCTTCTCATCATACGATTGATCTCCCAACCTCTAAAGTCTTATGACAACAACACAGACACTTTGCTTTCAATACATGTAACTATCTCTTCGATGCATAATACTTTTTCTACATTGTCAGTTCCTCTTGATATGATTACTCTATGAACTTGCAAAACCTTCCTAAACTGAATATCTCATAACAATGTACAGCCATAAACATCCTATTTCTTAGGATAAGAGAAATTCGGCTTGTATCATTTGTTGCTCATTACGTAATGAAGTATGCAAACTGTGTCGGATAGGCATATAACAAGTTGTTTCTTAATGCAAACCCAGTTAGAGCATAAGAGTTCTGACCCCTTAATGTAGAACAGGGGAGGGGAAAGGGAGAGGGGGGATTAGAGAGGAGAGAAAACTTAAGAGGGAAGGCAATTCAATATTCAATTCTCATTTAAAGTAAGGCTCTTAAGGTTGAAGCATTTTACGACTTTAGGCAGCTTTTGGGAACGGAAGTGAAGTGAAGCAAAACCTGGCTCAAATACCAAATGATGTAGAACGTGAGAGGGGAAAGGGAGAATAGTAAGGAAAAAGGGGCAGAGAACCAGATGAATGGAGGGAAAGAGAAGTAATTCAAGGGGGAGTGAATACTCAAATACCAATCTAATTCAATTCGTCAAAAAGGCTAACAACTAAGATGTGTTAAGGCCTATCTATAGAGCCTTATCTCTAACGCTATCACTAAAAGTAAATATTCCATATCAGAATTAAATCCAAATATTGTAGAATATTAAAGATAACCTAGCAATCTAAATATTACATTTATCTAAACCAAATCCTAATTCAGATCTGAGAGATGTAAGTGGAGGTTATTTATAGTATGGACTATCTCATGTACAAGTATTATAACCCCTTTAGCCTGAAAGTCTTTCAGCGTTTCACTCGTTTATGAGCAATGAAGCTCTGGATATTGACTTGAAGCCCCCGATTTTTTTTTTTTTGAACCTTGTTAACTAGATGCTATAGACGATGGAGAATCCCTAAACATGTGGGCGAGGATTCAAGTGTCATTGCAAATTCATGAACTGGGCTACTTGGCTTTTTTTGATACTGTTGTAGTTAGTACTATTCTGAAAAGGAATAGGGAAATTCAAGCTTCCGTTACTTTAAACTTTTTATTGATTATTTTCTGACGGTCTTCTTCAATCTCATTCAGACAAGATATCAAATTTTAACTTGTATTGCGCTAAATGATCAGATGAGATATTTAAGTAAATAGTCTAATATATTTAAACCGTTGCCTGTTTGAATCCTTTGCAGCTTTTACTTCATTATGGTGTCAATGATAGAAAGGGTATCCTTCCAGATAGAAGTGTTATGTCTTCTGCAAAATGTCGGGTATGATTTGATTGACTTAAACAAGTTATGTTAGCAAAAATTACTCACAGGCAACCATACGTTTTGGTTACACGTGCTCAATTTGGGTTGCACTTTTGTTTATGTAGGCCTTAGCAGACCTTCTTCCTTCACTTCAAAATGGCGGTCATCGGGTTTTAATATTTAGTCAGTGGACATCTATGCTCGATATATTGGAGTGGTCACTTGATGTCATGGGTTTGACCTACAGACGGCTTGATGGAAGGTACATGCTTAATTAAGTATGCTTCCTTTGTGATGTGTGCCTATTAAGTGCTGAGTTTTAAATACTCATAGGTGATGGGAGTGTCTTGTTACTTGTTGATTTCTAACTCTTTCAAAGCGGTGTGCGTGTATGCATGCCTGCCATTTTTAAACACTGATGGATGGTTGCAGCTTTTCCTTCCTCTCTGAACCCAACTGTGATTGCCAGTACGCAGGTGACAGAGAGGCAAACAATAGTTGATACGTTCAATAATGATACTTCTATATTTGCTTGCTTGCTTTCTACAAGAGCTGGAGGACAAGGCTTGAACTTGACAGGAGCTGATACTGTTGTAATTCATGACATGGATTTCAATCCACAGATTGATAGACAGGCAGAAGATCGTTGCCATAGGATAGGTCAAACGAAGCCTGTAACTATATATCGGTACTTGTTCATCACACTTGTCCTTCGCTTGGTTGTCAAAAAAGTACTGTTGCATGCGTTGATGGACTAATGCTTCTGATAATACCATTGCAGGCTGGTGACCAAGGGTACAGTTGATGAAAATGTATACGAGATTGCCAAAAGAAAGCTTGTGTTGGATGCTGCGGTCCTTGAATCTGGCATGGAGATGGATGATAAAGGTGACATGCCTGAGAAGACCATGGGAGAGATATTATCTGCAATTCTTTTGGGTTAACATGTGGAGACTTCAAGACAAGTTCCCCCCCCCCCCCCCAAAAAAAAAACCAAAAAAAAAGGTTGACACTCCTAGTTTTTTAGAACCATCCCAAGAGGTAGGAGAAAGAGAATTGGTGACCCTGATAAATTGGTGAGAATATCACAGGTGTACATTAACATTAATCTATAGATGGCACATGAGTAGTCATATTTTAACTATCGGTAGGGGAGTGAGTATGAATATCAGTGTAATGATTAACCGATGTGCCGCCCTCATTTTTCTTGAAGCCCCAGAAGGCAGCAGCTGCTTGGGTTGTAGTCTGATGGGAATAGTGCATATTGTTAGCTAACAGTAGTGTTTTGTTTATTCGAAGCTGCAGATTTCTTTGCGCCATACGCTTTTACGCACGACGTCAAGTTCAGGGTTAAGTTCACGAACAGCCAATTTAATTTTAAATGTTATGGCAGTTGCTTTTATCAACAGTTGTATGTATTCTGGTTATTTTAATGAAATTTTTCGATAATCTATGGTTTGGTTCATAAGTTTTACTATCAATTCATTCTTAATTTAAACCTCATTTCCAATGCATTTGCTGTTGTCTTCTCACAGTTTATTCTTTTTTCTAGCGTCACAAATCGCAAGTCCTTAATAGGCTTAATATCTTCCTTTTTATGAAAAATAGTTAAAACTAGATTAATTTTTGGGTCTCAAATAACGATTTAACCCAGATCCTTTTCCTTTCAGAATCCCATTTTTACTCTTGGATTAAAAAATGAGTTAGATTTAATATTTTTAAAAATGGATGTCCAATTAGGAGGAGTTTTGAGAAGGACGAGGTCCAACAAATAAAATGGTAAATTTGCCAAGTGTTTTAGAATAATTAAAGCTTATTATTGTTATTTTCAGCTAGGCAGGTCAAAAGGGGAAGTTTATAATCAAAATAAAAAAATTAATACAAATTTTAGTCATTTTGATTTTGGTTTTTTAAATTTCAAATGATAGATTTTAATCCTTTGATTTTATTTTTATTTAAAATATTATTTCTTATAACTCAATAAGAACTTAGATAATTTCTAGGTGAAACATAAAAAATTAAAATCAAAATAAAAATTATATTAATCCAGAATAAAATAAAAGAATAAAGGAAAAGAACAGATAAATAATTGCGCCCTAATTGCACGTTGCGGGACTAGATTTTTGACTTCTCATATAAGAACACAGTCAGAAAACTCTTCGAAAATAATTGGACTCGACGTTGACCAACGAAAATGACCAGGCTCATAGGAGCTTATGAAAGACATTTTTAACACAACTGCAAACTTCAACTCGGGCTTGGTGGGGTGCGCCTGGCCCGCGCAGTAGTGCAACGCGTGGGCGACGCTCGAGGATCCCAGCAGCAAGCTGCTGTGGTGGATCCTCCCCCTAAAAAATTAATTTAATATCATGTGGGCCGATGGCCCACGTATCAGATATTAAACTGATAAGAACAGATACTACACTTGATCTTAGCCAAAAGGCCGAGAAAGGTATGCTTTGAAACGTCGCTCCGTTAGGCTTATATAGGTGCTCTATGCCTTGCTGCCTCTACATCTGCTCAGTGTGGGACTCTTTGAAGGCGCAAGAAACTACAATAGCCGGTGTGACAGCGGGTTTCTTTCGACTCTATTGCCGAAATGTCTTCTTGAACTTCAGTTATCCTACATTTGAATACTAAACATCGCAGTTTCTTACTAAAATTATTTGACGAATTTATAACTTGCCAACAATGGAAAGGCTGGACTTGATGTTTTGCAGTAACAAACGTCAAGGAGTATGTGAATCTCTTTCGGGTCTGATTCTCAGTTTGACGTTTAACAAGTTCTTCCACACATTGTTCTGGCAGGAATCACCCTATCAAGAAACTAACATTCATTTTACTGTGTAAAGCTACTTCAGCACCATTTTTTCTTGTTCTTTTAGTCATGAAATGTCTCGTTCGATTCAGATAGAACAACTGAATTGTGTGCCTTTTAAGGCCACTTGTTTTGCCTAGTGACAGGTTTGAGCTTAGTGGCGAATTGGGTTCTCCTTGGCTTCATTCACGATCATTATTTTATTGCATCTTCTGCGTGTGATATTCTTATGTTTCTAATTTTTGTTCAAGTGCATGGAAACCCTAATGAACTGATTCGGGATTTCATTTGCCTGCGTGCCTTCAACTTGAGCGTCCCACGCATTGATGATTACGTTCATAGGCGCTGTGCTTCATTGTTTGTTTCAGTAGTATCATTGAAATCAGGTGGCTCATGATCAATTACAATAAATTACGCACATTATACGAAATGAACCGCACTGTTCACATCTTGTGAACATTATGACATGCTATATTTAATTCACATGGCTTCTCATCCGCCGACTCAATTTACAAAGCAGCATACCGAGAGTGTTTTAAGAACAAATACATCAGAGAACTACATAAGAATATGATGGTGCAGGACAACAATCAGGGTTTTAAGGAATCGATATGTTTCAGCATCATCTTGGTAGATTCATGAGCAAAATATTTTTGCCTCAGCAAAACATAGGGGTATCCGACAAATGACAAAATATGGGCAGGCTTTGAGAATGAAACTACTTCATACCATACTTGGCCTTTCTCATCCATCTCAATTGAAAATCGCTCCTCTCCGGCCTGTTTCCACAGAGAGTAATATTTCAAACATGATTAGAAGCCAAGAATCATAAATACATATTTGATCCCACAATATATGTAACATGAAATACGAAAGTTCTTGAAATTTTAAGATACAGAGATATGTGTGTCTGGATTCAACAAACTACAGCATAATGATGGGGGGGTTTCACTAGCTAAACAGTGAAGAACAGTTGACACAAAGGAATGTTATCACAGAGATATAGAGAATATCTAGCTTGAGAGACAGATTTTTCAAGGAAAACTTGAAGTTCTTATGCAATGGCAAGACTTAGTAGAATCCAAAAAGGCAGGTGGTATTAGTATATCCTCAATTATAAAAGCATTATAAATGCAGGTTGGAGGGGGAGGTCATTAATTAATGGGGTGGGGAGGGAAGAGATACCAGCATGAAGGGAATATAACAGAATGGGGGAGCGAGATTCTGGAAGAGAGTCACATAGATGGCCCTTAGATGAGTTATTGTGCTGAAGTGATTTTTTTTTTTTTGTGGCTTGCAACCAGTGATTGCTTCTAATCCTCAAGAAAAGCTCAGGTACTAATTAATCACTGTACATAATGAGATAAGAAAACAGAGATGTTTTCAGGTCTCGAAACATAAGAACACTGTTAAAGCGACATTGCTGCACCATGCAGTGCGGGGCAATTACAAAGAGCCAGATTTCCAATAAAGAAACTCCAAAGACTATTGGATTTTATAACTGCACAGAAAGCATTGGATAAGGAGGTATTTTCAGCTTCACATCTGCATCTCCAAGCGGAAAGAATTTAATCACTTAAAAAATTTTAAGACTCCAGTCGCATCCCCATAATCCCGAGACAAAGAAAAGCAGCAGGACTGCAGGAGGAAAGTACTCACCAGTAAGTGACCACCCAGAGTGCCACTTCCAAAACCAAAGGAGGCATTTCGGTTTTTTTTAGTTCTACTTTCATTCACATATACAACCTGAAGAGGCATCATGAGCCATGGGACGAACTCCTTTACACAAGCACAGAACTTCACTCCTTGTTGAACCGGAGTTTTTGGATCAACAAATGACCAATTCAATCCGAAATGCCTGAAAATGATATCAGTCATGGCTCAGCAATCCTGCGCCTATAAATGTATGCATGCATCAGAAAACAGGAGTGACATAAGCAAACCTCCAACTTCTGAGAGCACTCTTGCCCTTTTCAAAAGTGTCAAGACCAGAACCTACCAAAACTCGAGCATGGTTTAGTAAGAATCCACCTTTGGAGAACCCTTCATCTTCTTTAAGGGAAGACAAGGATTTAGCAGTAGCTCCTCTATATTTAACATCATAATTGAAAGTACCAGACCTGGTTGACAAGCAAGAGGAAAAAGTTTGAACATTAGAATGCTCGAGAAGCTAAAAATCCAAAAAAAAAAAAAAAAGAAGTCAAACATCATCTGATTACTTATCAATGCAAGCTTTCTGGTCTTGGAGAGTTGGCCGATGCCAGCACAAGAAAACCATCTGTGTTCAATAATTGTACATATTGCAGAGTTTTAGCAGCAGAGACAGATTTGAATATTATCAAAATACCCTCCAAAAGCCACTGGAGAGTAGTTCAAGTGATTGGGGATGATGGGTCAAACGTTTGATACTGCTATTGCGCACACAAAAATATGCACGCACAAACACACCTACAGAATCAAAGTTTTGGCTTGTTTTCGGAACTAAATTCAGTCAATGGTCTGCGGAAAAGCAAGCTGGTTAAACTCGTTGACCATTGGCCAAATACAGGAACTTCATTCAGTCACAAAATGAAAAAGGACAATAGGCTTAGAAAGATGTGCTGTGCTTTCTTCAATTAACCAGAAGATGAAATCGAGATAAATGACAAGAACAGACGAGTTGCGAAAACAAAACGAGACGTTAGAACTTAGAACATAACAAACTTATGGCAAGCGAGAAACTTTGTGGTATTGTTAATTATGCGACATGGTAAGTCTGCAAAATTTACTGAAGCGAAGTTTAATGGCTGAAAGCCAAATAGGTTTTAATGCCATTAAATTCATGTACATTCGCGCGCGCGCGTGAGTTGTCTAGCTTTGAAGATGCAAGTTCATGCACCCACCAAAATTGCTGTGGATAAACACTCGAAAACTTTCGAAGCGGTAATTCGACTGGATTCCTAGGCCCAGACAAGTTAACAAAATCATGGAATTTGGAAATAGCGCAGAGAGGGACTTAGGATTCAGAAGCCGCGGGAAAGAACAGGAGTCAACAATGACAAATTCTATTTGCCCAAAAAAAAAAAAACAATGACGCGACGTAAACGAGGGAGAGGAAAGGGCAATCAAGTGACGAACCTTAACCAGTCTGCCGGAAAAGTGGCCGTACCGCTGTACGCTGCAGATGACGACGCCGGGGTAAGCTTGAGAGATGAGAATGAGCCCACGTCTTAGAAAAATGAGAGATGACAACAACAGAACACAAAATAACTCGCATGGAGACGGGCCTGTGGTTAATCGTATCTCTTTCGGTGCACATTTACTATTACTATACTATAGTAGTAATTTTAAAAATACAGAAGTTTTGAATAGCAATTTGTGAAGCGAGAGCGCTAGATGCCCGGATGAGACGCATTTTCAGAACTTACTTTCTCCTCAGTTTTTTCTTTCCAGAGTTCGAAATCCTGGACTTCGATTCTCTCCACTACCTTCCCGTCCTCTTCCCCTCCACTGCCCTTTTTTTCTCTTCACAACTATTGGATCAAAATTCCAATAGTTCAAATTTAATATCTTATAAAAATAATATTATTAAACAAATAAATAAATAAATTTAAACTGTTAAAATCTAGTCTGAACAGTTTACAATTGTAATAAAAAAATTTTAAAAAAATTGCTCTATAATAACATTATGTAGTTATGAACTGTTCAGATTAGATTTTAACAGTTTAAATTTATTTATCTACTTTTTATCATAATATTTATTTTTATAAAATGTTATAAAATATTAAATCTGGATCATTGGAATTTTGATCCAATAATTGTAAAAAGAAAAGGAGGGTGGTGGAAGGGAAGAGGATGAGAAGGGTAGTGGAGAGAATCCAATTCCGAAATCTTGTGCTACAAATTGGGGCCTCTGAGAAGAGATTATGTGCAACAAAAACGCACTTCAGTGACTAATAATCCGCCACTGCAAAATGAAGAGAACATCTTGTTTTGCGCCCTTAATCTCAAATGCACCTTGCAGATTGTGTGCGCATGCCAATTATTCAGAAGTGTTTCAACAATGATTAGCTAATGACTTCAATTGAATTTGATTTCTGAACAGCAAATTCGGTCCATGACAATCCACAGCAAATACTTACTTCAATTTCTAATCTCCAAAAAAAAATTGATAAAATGTAGATAAATTAATTTTAAAATTACTACTTTATAAAAATTAATTTTTCTATTTGAAAATTATAAAATGGAAGTAGTCGAAATTAAATTCAAAATTATCCGTACTTCATTATTCTGATGAATACGCAAGTATCATTGTGATAAGTATGAAAATGAAATATAGTATGTGATAAGCATGTTAATGAAATATATGTCAATTCTTTTTACTACTATCTTATGTGTTTAAGATAAAAACTAGTTAATTAATTTAAGTAGATTAAGAAAGTTCATAAAGTAAGTTATTTGTAATAACTAAATTATATTCTTAAAATATTTGTACTAATCATATGTATTAATATAAGTACTACTCCTCCGGTCTTAAATATAAGGCTCTTATACACACTAGTATAAAGATCTTATATTTAGGACAAGATGAGTATTTGATAAAATATTTAGTATGTACAACTAGTATAAAAATTGATAAACTATCTATTATATTAACTACTCAAGTATTATTAGATGTAACAAAACTAATTGGAACTTATGTTTGTCTACCTTAGCTGTCTCCGTGGGCCGCCTCATATATGTTTTTATCTACACACACACACAACTAGTATAATTTTTTTTTTTGCCAACGGCCACCTAACACACACACACACACACACACACACCTCGTTGCTCCTTTTTTTGCCAGAATCCTCACTCTATTTGCTTACGTAGACATTATAATGACTTGATTGCAACCAGTAGCATGAAAGTTTAATGATCAACTTACGTATTGATTTTATATGGAGTTGATGAAGAAAATAAAAACTGTGGGTGCTAATTTGAAATCAGGGCAAGTTATAGCACTTAATATTAGTTTTTTTTTTTCATTTTGGTTATTCTAATGTTTGATTAGAAGTAAAATTATGATTTTAAAAATATTTTTATGATATATAAAATAAATACGTAGAAAAATATTTTAAAAAAATACTTTCAGTTATCCAAACATCCCTTTAACTTCTTCGGATCCGGGGACTGATGCCGATCTGATGCGGCATTCCAATTTTCCAGACAACAACGAATAATTATGTGATTTCGCGCCACCGAAATCATTTGGCGTTATCCTTTTCGGTATTCTCTTTGCCACGTGGCCATCTTCTGTCTACTTATAATAATAATAATAATAATGGAACAGTTCCGTCAGGTTAATACTCCCCCACCGATTGAATTTGAAATATTAAATCAAAATAGTTTAATGAAAATTATGTGTGCATATAAAAAGAGCCAAAAAAAAAAAGAATAAGATGCCCCTGCAAAGACTTATAAATTTTTCAACATTCTTCTTCGAGCAGAGAATTACTGTACTTTATAATTTTGGCGAAGGAGGAGAAGTTGGTTAAGAGAACAAAAGTTCGGGTCCGAGGATCTTGCCGGATCGGTTCTCTTCTCACCAACCTCTTCACCTCTTATTCTTTCTGCTTTTTTAACTGTACATTTCCTTCAGATTCAGTACTTGGGCCTTTGAATTTTCATCTTTCGTTTTCCTCTTCTGAATTCTCGGTCATGGCGTCTGAACCCAAGAAGATCATAATAGATACTGACCCCGGCATTGGTAGGTCTTCTCATTTCTCAATAGAATCCTTTTCATCAACTGCTTACAGTTTTTTTGCGCTGAAAGGAAAAACCGCAACTTATCTCATCAGAAAAGGCAAAAGATTACGCACGTTTATCATATAATAGACTTTTAATGAGTTCTGGATGTGTTCTTTTTGGAATTCTTTCATTTCAGTTGGCCACAAAGAGAGAAAACATTCTTGTGGTCCATTTTGGGTAGTTGATATAAAATGCTAGAATTCATGAAGATTGTTGACCTGAGAGGAAAGTCATGGCAATTGTTTCATGTAGATGATGCCATGGCAATATTTCTGGCATTACGATCGCCTGAGCTGGAGGTCATTGGACTTACGACTATTTACGGAAATGTTTACACCACCCTGGCCACCAGAAATGCCTTGCATTTGGTAATGTTATGGGATTCGCTTCTCTGATTCTAGGCGGCATTTTATGATACAGTTATTGGATTGTCTATTGATCTTTTTTATGGATAAACGAGTATAAAGTTGTTGACTTCCATCATTCTGTTAGAAACGTCCTTACTTGTGTAATATGTCCATTGTAGTTGGAGGTTGCAGGGAGAACTGATATACCAGTGGCTGAAGGCTCCCATGTTACATTAACTGTGAGGACTTCCTCTCTGTCAGATTGATTTTGTTATGCGATCACTGATTTGTGTGCCCTTAAATATAACTACCATTACCATCGGCTTCATTTGATTCCCCAGTATCTTAAATGACTGAAGAATATATGCTGACTTAGTTACCTGTTCGACAATGATCGTAACTAGATATTTACCACTTGTTTGTTCCTTGCGAGTAGTACCGAGTACGATGTAATTGGACCCCTCAATAGAAAGAAAGAAGGAACGAAGTGTAATACTAGTATTTACAGGATTCAATAACAGCTTAAAATTTGTGTGTTATTGTACTTATTATACTTCTTATTGTCTTAATCTTCATTTCTTTAAGAAAGGAACAAAGCTTCGTATTGCTGATTTTGTCCATGGGCGGATGGGCTTGGCAACCAAAATTTCCCTCCACCTAAAGGAAAGCATATTGAAGAATCAGCTGTTGATTTTCTGATTCGACAAGCAAAGATTAATCCTGGCAAAGTCACTGTAGTGGCATTGGGTCCGCTTACAAATATTGCATTGGTCTGATATATGGATGATCTTGTGTTTTCTTGCTACCCTTTACGCATTTCATTATTTAATGACAAAATGTCTCTTCGTATAGGCTATCCAACAGGATCCCGACTTTTCCAAAAAATTGGCCAGATTTTTCTTCTAGGCGGTGCTTTTGCAGTGAATGGCAATGTAAATCCAGCTGCCGAGGCCAATGTGAGTTCTCTTTCATGTGTTGAAAGTCCAAATATTACTTCTTGAATGTATAAATTATTGTTGGCTTCTCTCTGCCTGCGCTTCTTGCTGTTCTGAAATTTTTTCATTCACTGGTCATATTCGGTTTCAGATATTTGGCGACCCAGATGCTGCGGATGTTGTATTCACAAGTGGGGCAGACATTGTTGCAGTAGGGATAAATGTTACGCACCAGGTTGTCCTGACAGGTACACCCTTTGGCAAATTCCAATTCATTCTCTTCCGTTATAATTATATAAACTTTTATCTGTAATTGCATTGATAATTTTGCTTGTACAAATCCTATGCGGTTTGCAAAAGAATTTCATCAACAATTTAAATTTTTCCTTTTGGGCCTTTTCTTTCAGGATTTACCCTTTATCACTAATCAGGTTACACTCCATATGGATGTTTCAAGGCCACTGTTTTTTTTCTTTTTTTCGAGAGATTGTCAACTAATATCCCGGTCTAATTGAACTTGTGAACGTCTTCTCCAATGAATTAGTCCTAGTGTCCTGTCACTGTCAAAAAAATATTCACTTTTTTAACGGACGATTTGACAGAACTGTGCCCATCATTTTCTAATGAACAAGCTGTGTTTGTCCTGAACGCTTAAGTATCCAAATTTCTATTTTTCTAATAAACTTGTACAAACCAGTTTTGGGAACAGACTGGATGGGGATTCAATGATGATAAAGGAGGGAACAATAATCGAGGATTGAGATTGGAAGTAGGTACTAGCTACAAAGAACAGAGGAGCAATACAAGCTTGGTCTTGATATTTTTGCTCAGAATTCTCATTCTTTCTTTCTCTTGTGAATGTGTGTTCTTGAGGGATTCATTAGGACTATTTTTAGCCAAGTTAGTTGTGAAGGTCAATCCCAGCTTCCTGGAGGTGCTTGATACTGAGAACCAAGTTAGAAGATAGAGGATGTCACTTTGGGAAGTGGCGACCTTATGGATTGGTGTTTATGAAAAGATTATGCAGCTTTTAAGGAAGTAGGGCTGGTAATAAGGTTTTGGTAGACATCCTTGAAGAGACATGTGCCCAGTTCTTATAGGGTTGCTACAAGCTCACCCTTAGTTTGTCATATGCTTAGCTTCACAGGTTGGAGTTTCTGCAGTGAAGAAGCCTTATTTCCATCTCTCTAGTTCTTTGTCATTCCCACGGTGCGCTTATGTTGAATGTTTCCTTCCTAAAGCACCAAAATATGTTTTCTTTTCCCCATCAAGGCTGAGTTTTTGCTCACATTAACTAAGGAAGGCTATGAGTTGGAGTCAACCCACATCTATAGTCTCAGTGAACCTAGGTCATGTAAGTAATTATAAGGGGAGGATGCTCACTGTAAAACTGTTCTCAAGGCAACTTGGGGATTTGAAGTTGGCTGGAAGAACCCTAAAGGATTGCCCAAACTCATGATTTATGAGTTCAAGGCAATTAAGGTAATTTCTTTTCTTGCTGGGAACTGCGCCTTTGTCCACATAGAGTCAGCATATGACATTTTGGTTTTTGGGCTTGTGATAAGATTTGACGTTCTACACTTCTACCTAAAATTTGGAACATACATTCTTGGCCATTGATGAGAACTTGGCATCAGTCTGAACGATATAATCAGATTAGAAAAAATGCTATAGCAAACATCATTCATCTATGTTTTTGTTACCAATGTCTATATAGCTGCTGATCGAGAGAAGTTGGCAAGTTCGAAAGGCAAATTTGCACAATACCTGAACAAAATCTTGGACGTGTACTTCTCTTATCATTTTGAGGCATATGACACTGCAGGTTTGTGTTGTTGATTGGCTTAAGAACTGAGAGATCCCATGATCTTCTGAATATTATAATTGATTTATATGCAGGCGTTTACCTACATGACCCAACGACCCTTCTTGCAGCTGTTAATCCTTCACTCCTAACTTACGCAGAGGGTACTGTTAGAGTCCAAACTAATGGCATCACGAGGGGACTCACGATTCTGTATAATAAGCAAAAAAGGCAAGTATCACCATGAGGTTTTGTCCCTCGAGAATTCAGGGCAAAACCATTTATCTTATTTTAATTTTGATATATGTAGGCCCATCCAATGATAAGTATTAGCTAATACTATATAAATTCAGCAAAAGGGTGATTAAGGAGGATTTCAGATGTAAAATAAGATGTCCATGACAAGATATGAATAAAAATATAAATTTACTGAGATGAAATTCTCCCAAAGGTCCTTTTGGGGTTATTGAGCTGTTTCGATATGTCTGGACATCTTTCTAAATGCACAAATGTATTTCTAAACATTCTGAAATATATCAAACGAAAAAGTCCCACAATCCCAATGCATAGATACAGTATAGGTACTGATATAAGCCACCTTTTAATGTATTGGTGCTTCTTAGATCATACTTCTATTGTAGTTTTATCTTCTTCATTGCATTCCCCCCTTAAATGATTTATAGCTGTATATATGCTTTCTTTGGTGTAAAACAGGTTTGGTGAAGTTACTGAGTGGTCGGATAAACCATCTGTCAAAGTAGCTGTGACAGTTGATGCTCCTGCTGTTGTTAAACTGGTAATGGATCGTCTTATGGATTCATGAACCAACCATGAAGATTTTCGATGGTAATTGAAGAGGACAGGGGTTGGAGGTGCTCAGAAACCAAGGCGAATCAAACAAACTCACAAAGCCAGAATGAGATTGTATGTTTGGTTCAGTTTGAATGCCTGCATTGGGGTTTGTTGCTGGTTTATCTGACTGATTTTAAAGCTCCCTATAGTTTGGTTTTTTTTTTTGGTGAAATAGTTTCTGGTTTGAAACAATTTTAAAATTGATTTAAAGCTAATAACTAATAAGGCCTTAAGATGGCTTGAAACTCCCTTGTACTTCTTTTAGGCCAATAAACTTCTTTGCACTTTTAAGTGCCGCTTGGTTTGCTAATTTGGGTCAAGTGTTTTTGATGATTCAGTGCTGTTTATCGGTGAAAAAAAGTCAAACTGTTATTTTTTTTCACTTTATTTAACATTATTAATTTTTCTTAAGACGTTCAATGGAAGTTAATTTGATTTGGTTTTGAAAATTTAAAGATGACTTTGCTGATACATAATCA